CAAGGTAGAGATCAGAAGCCTTGCCCGCAGAAAAACTAACTGGAGGGAAAGAGGGAGAAACAATGACGCTGCTATAAAAGAACAAAAATAAAGAGGAAGCTTGATGCAAGAATCTCCGAAGGGAAAGAGAACACTGCAATTTCTTTCGAATAATGGAATCATCCAGTTAACCTAAGATGGTTTACCATACATTTGAAACCCCTTGAAGCTCATTTAAACATCCCTTATATTTAGAACCCTTGGTAAAGAAATCTCCTTTCTTCTCGCCAACCAAGAGAGAGAGAGAGAGAGAGAGAGAGAGAGAGAGAGCTCGTGACAAAGACTGAGAGTGGTTATTCTATCCCGTGAATGGGCCCATCGCCCGTGGTTGTTTTGAGTTCCATGCTATTTTTCCCGATCGTTGTTAAACTTCATCTCGCTTCACAATGCTTCGTTGGTATAATTGTTTTCTTTTCGCTTGTTTCAACGCGTATCACCATGTTTCATTGTGTGCCAATAAAAACATAGTGCACTTTCTTTGGAGCTGGTTAACTCATACGCGACGACGGCACAAATGAAACATCAAGATACATTCCGAAATGAGAAGAAAACACCCGACGCAAACGAGAAAAATCTAGCACCGTCCATGAGCTCTTTGAGACGCGTGTTTTTTTTATTCATTGCTTTTCAAACCCGTCATGTTTCAATGCTTCACATCGTTTTTCCTTTTTCGAGGCTTTAGCATTGCATTTTTCTTTCATACACTTTGAAACGAGAAGAAAAAACCCTGGAACGGGAAGCTTTTGAAACACGGCAAATTTGAAAACGATGCAGAACAACACGAATCTCGAAGCAGTCATGGACGGTGGATTCGTGCGCAGAGTGTCACATGCACGACAGAGTAACTTTTCTCCTCCGTGGTGCGATCCAACGCCCACACCCACCGGACTCGCGACTCCACCAACCAACCAACCACGGAGCCAGGATTAGAATAGCGGCGCCGATGGGCTGGGCTTGGCGCCATCCACCAACCGCCCCCCGACGGCCGACGCCATGCTCTCCCTCGCCCGCCGCCCGCTCTCCGCCGCCGTCCCCGCCGGCAACCTCCTCGGCATCCACCTCTTCCAGTGCCCCGTACGTTCCCTTCTCTCCCACTCTCATTTCCCCCCATCTCCTCCTCCTGCCGATGAGAGTTGAATGTGAGTTCCCTGCTCTTCGTCCGGCGGCCTGGCCAGGACGCGGTGGGCATCGTGGCCAAGCTGTCCGAGTGCATCGCCTCCCGCGGCGGCAACATCCACAGCGTCGACGTCTTCGTCCCCGACGACGCCCCCGTCTTCTACGCCCGCAGGTACCCCCATTTCCCACCTCCCATTCCTCTATCCACCTACCATGCCAGCCAGTCTGTCAGTTCACCACCCGTTCGACGAATTGCCCACGCGCATACGGATTGTTCATCGGCCCTCGCGCGAGTCCTCTCATCCAATCCATACGAACGAGCACCACTAGAGTCTGACAAGAGCCATGCCTGGGTGAACTCTCTGAAACCTTTTTTCTTTTTTTTGGGTTTTTGACACCACAGTCTCGATCGTGCTCAGTCCCAAAGCCGTCCTCTGCTCACGTTAAGACAAGAGGGGTGCTGAATCAGTAATCCACACTGGTACACCGCGTTAGTAATTACGCAGAGGACGATCAAGAAACCGCCTCTTCCTTGGGAGTAGAGTAGATTATCCCTCGTGTTCGCTTATCTTCAGCTCAATTTGCAGTGAATTCACCTACAACCCGAGGCTATGGCCTCGCGACGTGCTTCGCGCCGACTTCCTCCGCCTGTCGGACTGCTTCAGCGCGCAAAAATCCACTGTGCGCGTGCCTGACATCGACCCCAAGTACAAGATTGCAGTCCTTGCTTCGAAGCAGGTTCGCAGTTTCGTACCTCTTCCTTGCACTTCATCTGGCAATGATTTCTCTCTGTGGAATTGATGCCTTTAATGCCACATGTCAATTTGCACATCTCTCTTTGTGTAGCGGTTTTGACAAGTACGTTTTCCTGTTATTCTTCTAGGACCATTGTCTGTTTGACTTGCTGCATAGATGGCAGGAAGGCCGGCTTCCAGTTGACATTCATTGTGTGATAAGGTGAGTGAATCATATAAGGCTTTCTCTCGGCTCAGTGTTTGCTTATCAGATCTGGTGTTCCTCAAGCTGATATGCTCTTTCTTTTCTTGTGCAGCAACCATGATCGACCTGTAGATAATCATGTGATGCGTTTTCTTCAGAGGCACGAAATCCCCTATCATTACTTACCAACGACTTCTGGGAATAAAAGGGAACAAGAGATATTAGGATTGATTGAAGGTACCGATTTTGTCGTGCTGGCCAGATATATGCAGGTACACTCATTTTGTCACAGTTATCTTGTCACCATTAGGTGTACAGACTTTATGAGGTCTATAGTACCAACATGTGGTACAGATTTCTGCCACACAAATATTGGTGATACGAATCATTTTTTGTCGCAGGTAATGTCTGAAAGCTTTCTTAAAGCATATGGGAAAGATATTATTAATATTCACCATGGCCTTCTTCCCTCGTTCAAAGGAGGAAGTCCTTCTAGACAGGTATTGAAATTATTACATTGTGAACCTAATCTGATTTTTCTGTTGTTTCTAAATGTGCAAATTATGTAACTTCTTTCAGGCCTTCAATGCTGGGGTGAAGTTGATTGGTGCGACTAGCCATTTTGTTACTCCAGAACTTGATGCTGGGCCAATCATTGAGCAGATGGTAATAATATTTTTCGCATAATGTTTAACTTAAGTGCCTTAATTGTTTATCTGTCATTTACAAACTCCTAGTGTGCTCAGTTTTAATGATAGTTTGGACATGAATCAAATCACCAGTCAACGTGGAATTGCTTTATTTTCACCAACTTGGGTTAACGTCTCTTTAGGACGTTCTTTATCATTTTCCCTTTGTGGGATTTTTTAGCATCGATTTATATCCAAAATAATGTCATGCTTGACCACTTTCACATTAAAACTGCTGTGGGATAATCTGCTTAGTGAAGATGCACATGCTGTGCTGAATCTTTATTAAACCAATGCTTTTTTGTCCCGCTTATTCCAGCTGGGAGTTGGAAGTTTTATGTCTTCTCCTTTGCATCTGATGCAGGTTGAACGGGTTTCTCACAGGGACACATTACATAGCTTTGTTGTCAAGTCTGAGAACCTTGAGAAGCAGTGCCTAGCAGAAGCTATCAAGTCATACTGCGAGCTCCGTGTGCTACCATATGAAGTGATGAAGACTGTTGTGTTTTGAACCCTTTTTTTTTTATGAATTTTTACGATGTGTATTCTTTTTCCAAAACTAGCAATACATTATTCTTTTGTTAATATACTCACGTCGAGCCATTAGGTGTATCTTAACCTGGGCTGAACTTATGAGAATAATCAAGCAGTGTTACTGTTACATACCACCTGCGCAAAACATGCTTTGACATTTATTTGCGTACACTGATGTTGCAAAGCACGCGTCTTAATACACCCTCTGTCCTGCAAAATTTGGGTTCATGTACTAACCCTAACTGCACCAGTTGAGTTTTAGTGTTTCTAGCCTGTGCCCTACTTGGTCAGCTACATCAACCTGCTGGAGCAGATTTTGCACGCCATGAACCCAGCTCTGTTTACTGCTGCTGCTCTCACACTTGAACTCAATCAGGCCCTGTGCTGTACTCAAGCCAAAGCAGCATGTCTCTGGTAAACATTTCCCTGGCTCAGTCCACTCTGGGAGCTCACTGTATACCCCGTAAACGACACCTGTAAGTATTTTGAAGCATAAAGTCAGTATTCAGACTCAAGAAGCATCGACATCAGGTATTAACTGATGAGATATGAAACAGCTAAACCTACTTTTATTGTTTTTTGATAGTGCACCTCCCATGTGTTTGCTCTTCAGCTTCAATATGACCTGTAATTATCCGTACTTACTGTTAACTGATATATGATTTTGTATATAAATGAACATGTATTCACCAGAACTGGCCAGAGTTTAGATGAACATCTATTACAAATTTAGCTTTGGAGGGAAATTGCCCTACCTGTGACCTCTTGTTGATGTAGATTGATACCCGTCTCTTGTGTAAATCCCCTGATTCAGGAACAAAAGTTTGCGTGTCAGGTCTCTTGATGATGCTTCAGAAGTTCAGATTTTGTTGTCAGCAGAATGTAATTAAATGCTCTCAATAGTTCAGTAGCTCTGACCTTTTCTTGTGCGTTTTAGCAGCTTGCCTTCCTTGCACCAGATATCAGGACTCCATGACGAAGGGGCCTTCTCGTAAGGAATGACGCTGGCATTGCTTCTCGATTCGCGCTGGACCCTCTTCTTCAGCGTCGCAGCTCCTCTCAAAGCTTTGCACACAATATCATCAGGGGGCACACAACTCAGCCATTTATCATATAACAGCAGATGAATTTGAGTGTGATGACAATTTATGGGGATTTCTCACCTGTCGCCGCGGCCGCTGTGAGCGTCATCAGATCACCTGGGCCTGTGACACCGACCGCAGACCGGACAGCAGAGGACACCTGCTCATGGCCTGCCCCTGCAAGCTGGGCTGCCTCGGCACAGTGCGAGGCCAGCAACTCGGTGGCCGACGCCATGGCTGCAGCTATCTTGGAGTCCTGGTTGTCAAAGCTGGTGGCTGCTGTGACAGCGGCAACCGCGGCGGACACCTGGGCCACGGAGACCATGGCGTGCGCCTGGGCCCGGTCGGCGCGCGCCTTCTCCTTCCTGCCGTGCTTGGCGGCCTCCTTGTGCTGGAAGTACCACCTGGTCACCGAGTTGGAGTGGCGGTGGCAGCTGATGGAGCCCCTCCCTTTTGCATCTAGCTGCAGAGCAGAGATGGCTGGGTAAGCAACAGCAGGCAAATCAGCCATGGTTTTGCATCTCAATTTGTTCTCTCCAACTTGACGGACGCATACATGTTGCAGAGAGTAACAACTAGCTAGCAAGGAAAAGCAGAAAAGAAGGAAGCAAGTGATTGGTCACATGTTGGTGGTGAATCTGATGATGACTGGAAGCTGCGGGGGCGGCGAGGAGCTCGTAGGAGGAGGAGGTCATCGTCTCCGGCATGGGGGATGGCGGAAGAAGAGCGTCGGCGGGGGCGAAGAAGCTCCGCTTGGTGTCCCCTTTGAGCAGCAGGGCCTTGGATATGTCGTCGGCGGAGACGCTCCAGGACCTGGACAGGTACTCCATGGGCTCCATGGGGGTCTGTGGCGGCGGCAGCGATGACGCAGGCATCATCTGCTCGTCGATGCCGTGAAGGGCGAGAAGGAGAGCAGGAGGCATGCCCGCTCGTCTGTTGCAAACTCTCTCCATCTCCATGGTGAATGGCAACCAAGCAGCAGCAGCAGAGTGTGAGTGTCCTTGTTGGGCACCAGCGGTAGGCTAGCCAGAGTTATATTATATGAGAGGAGGGAGCGGAGGAGCAGAGCACAGGGTCAGCTGCAAATCTGCAATGTATGGTGATGGTGATGGTGATGCATGCGCGATCGAGGGGACACGAGGGGGACAAGTGAGTCCCAGGTAATCTTTTCTGCCCTGTCTCCCTCCTCTACCCCGTTGGTTAACCCGTCGTGCATTCATTTGGGAGGTTGTTAGAGGAGGTGACATGCATGGGTCCCGTCACGTCCCAAGATGATGGAAGGCTCTACCTTCTCCTTGTGTCTGGACTCTGGAGGCGCCTGTCCTCCTGTGCTCCGGTCAACCTCCTTAGTGCTACTAGTGCCTCCTCTTTCTGCTAACGAGGCTAGTCATAGTGGAAGTAACATAACACACCCTAATACAAGTTAGTTTGCTTATGTGACAGCAAATTAATGAAGATAGGGGTGCTTGTGGTGGTAACTAGGGATGAGAACGGCGCGGAAACGGACGGAATTGGGTGTTACCATATTTGTTTTCATAATTTTTTGTAGAAGCGGAAACGAATATAGAAACCCCGGAAACAAATACTACCGGAAACAGACACAGAGCGAATATAGAGCGGACACGGAAACAAAACGGTTTGTTGACCAGAACTTTAAACCTCCTTGAATCATAGAGAAATATAAACAAAAAACAAATTTTTTTTATGAAATTGTTAACATGACTGCAAAATAAAATGGTTATGTTAGCAACATAGGATAGTATTGTAGTAGTACATGACAATCCCGTATAGGGTATAAGTTGAGTACGTGTGTGGTAGTAAAAGTTGGTCCTCAAATGATCAATTCTGCTCATTCTACCCATTGTGCCATTGTGTATTCTTTGGTAGTTGGGCTACCTATAGTAGAAACGGAAATTCCATATTTATGGAAACAGAAAGTTCCGTTTCCACGTCTGTTCCACCGGAAAACACCCTTCTGTTTTTGTTTTTGTTTCCACATAAAAAAAATCCATTTTGCAAATTTTTATTTTCGTTTTCATATTTCCTCTCCGTTTCCATTTTTGGTCCGAAAAAGCGAAAACTTTCCACTCCATTTTCATCCCTAGTGGTAACATACTAGTATATGTTAACGTGTAACATAACGCAACCTGAATGCATGTACTACTTGCACGTTAATTACTTTTGTGTTAAGATGGGGAGTAGAACCAGGTGGTGATAAGACTAGGTTGTCGTTTGCACCAATACTTTTGTGTTAAGAGAAGATGCAGCATGCGTGCCGCCATGATGAGACTCGGCTGTAGGTAGGTGGTCCGGTCCTCCTCGCGTTGCCCGTGCGCTGCACACCTTTTCTGCCGCTGCACGGAGCTCAACCAGCAAGTAATCTTACGATTTTGATTTCCTTCAAACGATGAGGGACAACGGTCGATGGAGGAGGGACACTTCTCCCTGCCTCTGGGCCTGGGGGCTCAGAAGAAAGTGAAACGCCTGTGCCCACAGAAAAATGGGGGATGGAGTCGGAGTCTACCTACCTACCACTAATATAATGGTGAGACTAAGCTCCTCGGCTCATATATTAGCTGGCCTTTTATGTTTACTATACTAATGAGATCGACCAAGGCCAGCAGCACTCAAGACTCGCACCTTTTCTTTCTTCCCCTTTTCTGTTGCAAAATTAAGAAAAACACCCACCCTGACACACGGACGACGGACATATGCTTCAGTGAGTATAGTTCGCAAGACTGTTACGATATACTACTCCCTCTAATTCATAATATACGTGTCGCAGTATCAAACTAAGGTTTGAATTAACCTTAGTTCAGAACCGCGACACTTATTTTGGATCGGAGGGAGTGCTAATTTGGCAGGAGGAACCACGGAGCACTTGGCCGCATGTAGCTTTGCAGGTGCCCACCTCTTCCTTCCGTTTACCTGTGAATTTAATGAGTACCTACCGGGTACATATGTCGTCTGATCGATCGATGATGGTGGCCATCATCTTTTAAGCGCATCTTATCTTCTATCCTCTCTTAAAAGTATGGATCATCATGTCTGCCAGGGCACCAACCCCATACGTGCACTGTTTAGTTTTTCTTGTTTGTGAGGGGCAGAGGGAGCAGCCGAAGCTGCGTCCTCAGTCTGTTGTGCAGTGGAGGGCAATTAGCAATGACTAGTCTTTTTTGCACTGGGGATGGGAGGAGGAATCCCCACCTGTTTATATTGATCTCAGTTCAAAAGAAATCAACCAGTTTATGTGGGAAACCGGATCGAAAAACCATGATCCAGTTTACGAGGAATACGGGACCGAGAACCAGCCCAGGCGCAATACATCTCGCGGAGGCAACAGCATGACAAACACGTACGGAAAAAACATCGATGGAGCCAGGAGCAAACCCATGCAGGGGGCGGATCCACTGTTGGTCATGGGTGTACGGATGTACATTCAACATTTCATGCGAAAATTTTCCAATATATAGGTATATGACAAAAATACTAAGAGTGCATATTTGAGAGACTACGGAGCAGCTCTCCTGTGGCAAATTGACCAATAATAGCCCAAGAGCAGCAACTAGCTACATCTGCCCTCACGCATGAGAGATACTCAGCAGCTCGGCTCATGATTCTAAAAAAAAGCAGCTCAACTCAGTCCAAATGCCCATAAAAAAACTCGGTTCAAATTTACCAAATCCACCAGCACCAGAGCCAGACGAGCACGGCGGCACAAAGCTCTAACCTCTGTGCAGTTGTGCCGATGGAGAGCTCGACCAAGCCGCCGGCACCGGACGCGGACATGATAGAGCCCCCCGTGGTCAAAGCCGTGCACTGCCATGCCCGCCGCCGTCGGTGGGGATGCAACAGCAACATAGACGGGTTAGATGCAGGGGATGAGCGGCGCGGC